TTTTCCACCAAAAAGACATTTTGGTTATTTTAAATGTTCATATTCACCGAAACATCCCTATAGCGAAAATTAATTCCAAACGAAAATAAAGTACTTTACACCAAACTAAACACTTAAAATTCCTGTATTTGCTCTATCACAAACTTATAAAACAACAAATTGCATTTTTTTACATTGTATCTTTATAATTATTTTGAAAAATCTGTTCCTTTCATAAATTGCTGAAATATGCTGACTTAAATTTACGCTACATGCAAGGAGAACTTGTTTATTGATGAATTTTAATGCATTAGTGCTTTTACAGTATTTTATTGCTGTCTTTTTGCTGAAATATTTCAGTAACTGCAAAAAACAAATTGTATTGTTTAACATAGATTGAAAATTAAGTAGTTGATCATATCATTTAGAATACGAAAAACTCCTAACACTTTCATTGCTCGTAGTGCAAGATAAGTTATTGAAATCTTGTGTATGCTTGGACAGTGACCATTTCACATCACAATAAAGATTAGACCTTCATATCAACAGTGAACCCTACCTGTCCTAAATACCTTGCTGTTCTTAAGTGGGCAACTAGCATCTGTAGTAAATATATATATATATATTATTATAGTACCTGTGTTTTTAATGGTTTCAAGAAAAATGTGTTTAGATGATCTGAGTGTACAACACAAAGCGTATTTTGTTACTCCCTAGTCTTCTGAGAAGCTACATTGCCCCTAGTTACATTCTTCATGATTGACTAAAATATACTCATTACCAATCAGTCTGTTGTAATTTACCTTGACAGTTATTATGCTATTGGCAAGTGAGCCTACATGTCTAATTGTAGACTATAAATCATTATTCCAAATGTGATAAAGATTTACACCCCCAATTAGTGACAACTGCATGAAAGTGAAATTGCGCAATCCTAGCCTAGTTGTTTACACTTAGTTCCCGAACCAGCCACATGCTCTGTTCTGGTAAACAAAATTGTATACATGTATCAGTGGCTTTCAAATTGTACGAGGTTCCACATGTTGTTGTGACTTGCTTATGTATACCTGTCTTGTTGCCATGAGTAACTATTATTATGATACCACTTAATGCAGTTTTGTGTAAGCGTGACATCAGAGACCGGTGTTCATATATACACACTGGGTCACAGCGTATTAATATGCAAATGATGTGGGTAGGAGTGATACGCAGTTAACATTCACAAAAGTAGTTCGGTCTTCAGTATTTACTTTGCATGAACTATGGCGGGAAATCTTTATCAAAGGAGTGTATACCATGCTACATGCTTTGGAAACCAGTTGTAAACAAAGATGTTTAATAAAGATTCCTACTGGTTATGGCACACTCATTGATATGGTTTCTGTTGGAAGACTTGTGCATAATTAGAAAATGTTCATACATGATACAAGTCTTTTGGATTTGCTTTGACATTTCTCTACTCATTGTTGACTTGATAAAATGATGAAAAAAAAAATTATCATTTTCATACAAATGTTCATTGGTTAAAATTTTTTTGTGTCAGAATTTAAAGAATATAACTAAAGAAAAATTAATTGATTAAAGGAGAATCAAATTGGCCAGTGTCGGGTCATATATAGACTTGTGTTATAGTTGGTCTACATAGCAATATTTTGGGGTTAATTTGAGGAGAGTATCCATGGAGACAGTACAGTGAGACCAACGTGTCAGAAGTTGATGTTACTTGTCTGTATGCGTACTTTGCTGCTTTCATGTAATGACCTAATCAGACATCTTTCCCACCAAACTGCTCGTGTGAAGCCCAGACTGAGAAAAATGATGAAAATTATGAACTTCATTGTTAAACATGTCGGCCATCTTGTAAGTGTAGAGTAATTGTTCTGTGTTAGGAATTTGCCTTTCCTAATAAGGCAGGAAGCACGTACCCCGCTGAATATCACCTGGAAAGTACTATTTTTTAAACTATTGTATGTATTTTATAATGTACTTCATTCATATATTTCATTCGAAGACATTTAGTAAGTTCTGAATCAATAATTCAGCACAAAAAGTTCTGAGACCGTGCTCCTGTTTTTGAATGGAATATACTGGAAATCCCTGAACATTTACTGTATTTGCTATATCTGTAGCGTATGTAATTTAAAGGGGTTTCAAAATAAATATTTTAATAACCAAATTTGATTTTCAGTTTTGTGTGAGAGAGCATTGACGTATTAGAATTTGTAGTCAGTATTCTCGCATAAAACTTGCCTTCTAAAATTGTGGTAGGTGGTATCGGGAATCATTATAAGCACTCGAGCTTAATGCAACTTTTGGATTCTGCATACAAAAGATTCAGCCTATCACAACGCATATAATTTAGCCAATCAGATCCCTTCCTTATTGACCTATTACAAACATGTAATATATATCCTCTTCCCGCCTAAATTCAAGAATGCATCATTCCCCTATGAATAGAGAAATTGTCCTTGTACTTGTCAGATGCTGTTTTATGTTAGTGTAATAAACCTGGTTACTTGCTCAAGCCACTGTTATCTCGCCTCCGTTATCTCTATCCACCGGAATCTCTTCTATACAATTCTACACATGGGGAGCATAATGATTCACTTAAGTATTTCTGTCCGACTTGAAGCATCATATAGGCCAAAGGCTAGTGGCCTGCAAAGTGTTCCATATAGATTCATTGGGCAAATTGTGTTCTCAGCACAAAAACTATACAAGTCATCTGACAATATATGACAATGATTTGAAATAAGAAACTGAGGACATTTGGTTTACATAGCACCTGCAATGAGCATTCTAATTGGTCGAGAAGTACTAGGTTATTTTTAAATTTGAATGCAACAGCTACCTAACAACTGACTTGCTTAAAATACTGTAGAAACTTGTGCGATTTCTTTTTGAAAGCAGCAGATACTGGACACCAAAGGAACAAGTAAAATTTCCAACTTAACAGCAACCTTTCAAATAGAGTTTAAAAAGTTAGCTATGACCTTGAATTAAAATCGACTTGTACCACTGGTGCCTGGTAAAAA